TATTAGAAACTTACCTTCTTTTTATCACATGCCTTTGGATGATCAGCTTGTTCTCATACAGCAGAACTGGGCCCCTCTTTTTGTCCTGGACATGGCACAAGAAGGGATGGATTTTAATCTGAGAGAGATTTCAGTCCCTAGTTTATTGAAAAAAGTCCTCCTCAATCAGTCTTTGACAGCTAACAATGAACTGGGCAGCTCATCACCAGGAGCATCTTTGGCAAAAGTTCAGAAGATGAAGAATCTCTTGTGGAAATGCTGGGACCTGGACATAAGTGCAAAAGAATATGCCTATCTTAAAGGAATTATTCTTTTTAATTCTGGTGAGTCCTCCTGGAAACTACATAGATGATTATGGGCTTCGAAAGACATTTGGCATTTTCATTTGTATACAGACAAAAGTTTAGTTTTACTCTTGCCTATGAATACAGCTAAATTTCTCAAAAATCCATATTCCACAATTTAATGACTTTTCTACCTGAAGTGGTTTACTTCAGTACCTTGGCTGTGTGCAGTAGGTCACCCACTGTAAGCCAAAACAGCTTCTATTAGACAAATTTTAAGTCATAAATAATTAACAGTGTCACTTCAAACTGATTTTCAGTTCAAAGGTAATACAGCAGACTCATCCGTAGTACTGCAAAGTAGAGATGGTACATGGGTACACAATGTGAGTACTGGAAGTATTTTAACAAAGACTTCCTCTGTAACAAGAAGTTTGGAGAAGATAAAATAATCCTTATCAAGTGATTTTCATCAATGAGGCAAAAGGATGCTGTGTTGATGTTACACAGCTTTTATTTATTTATATTCTTTATTTATATAATTTAATATCACTACACTCAAAGCCTGCAACAGCAATCATGGAGCAAACTAAAACTAGTGATTGCATCCTCTCATTTCAGATGCCAAGTTCAGGCTCTTTAGGAAGGAAGGTTTCCTCAGTCAGCACCATGGAGTGCATGAGTCATTAAAAGCTGAGCTCTAAGTACACTAAAGTAAATGGAAAGACTTACCGACTCCAGCCTGCTCTGGCTCAGATCCTCGGCTCCTTCCACAGCAATCACTGCTGTTGGCTGCACTGTCAGCAGTGTGCTGTACTTCAGACTGCACCAAAAGGATACATGAATGCTTCAGTTATTCCATTATATTTCTTGTGGTGAATGGTTTATAGGCTGCTCAAAAGCTGTATGACTTTATATTTGTTTCCAATGGGATTCAGATTCTGACTCTTGAGGTGTAATGTCATCCAGATGTTTGGTATTGCCTTGTGTGTCTGTGCTGCAGCATCAAATCAGTGGAGTTTGTTTCAGTGCAAGTTATTTTGTTGTTTTTTTTGCAGTAAAATCAGGCTAAACAAAACCTCCAGTTATATCCAGAGGAATGCTAAGAAGAGAAATGCCTCATCTGCAGCAGCTTACACAGTTTAACTAGTAGGCTTTTTTATTATCTCTGTGGGTAAAATGAGATTTTCACTTGAGGAGAAAGTAGCAGAAGCAGGGTTATGTTCTGGATTTCTGCCTTCTAAGGCCTGGTGCTTCTCTAAGGTGGTGTATGAGAGGGCCAGCAGCCCTTGATGCTGTCTGCAGACACATTCCAGTGTTTCAGGAATGTCACCTAGCTCATAGGTGGGATGAATCTGTTCTCTGTAATATTTCCCCACCAGCTGCCGAAGGCAGCCTAGAGAACTTCTGATATGCCTAGATTGACTCCGGATGAAACAGTTACAGTCTAACTCTGAGCTGAAACAGGTACTCAGGGCTTATGCACAGCCCCAAACTGCCCTTTACTGCAAACAAATCTGTACAGCTGTTATTTCACTATTACTATTTTTAAAAGCTTTTTAATACTTTCCACCAAACTCAGAAAATATTTTCTACATACATGCAGCACATTTTCAAACGTTTCAAGTTTTGGTGTGATGTTTGGCAAAATGTTAATATTCTGTAGGCCTCAGTTCTAAGAGGATTTCAGGAAGCCACCAGCAGTGACAATGGTACACCCTTTCTTGGATCATGAAGTACCTCATGAAGGATCCCACCCTGAATGTTTTACTTCTGTTAGGACCATCAAAACTGATTGAGGCAATGGGGAAGGGCCAGGTACAGAGCAGTTCAGAGCTGGATTATGAGTTGGAGTTCAACAGGGCATCCAGGCATGCAGCTGTAGCAGCCATCACTTGGATAAGAAGCATGACAGGTACTACGAAGCTTTCCTTGTGCCCTGGCTGATCTCTTGTGGCACAGATGTTGTGCTTACTATCACTAAAAAAATTCCTTTTTTGAGAGAGTGGCAGGGAGCATGATGGAATGTAGGTTCTACACTAGAATCATAGAATGGTTGGGGTTGGAAAAGACCTTAAAAATCATCTAGTCCAACCTCCCTGCCATAAACAGGGCCACCTTCTACTAGATCAGGTTGCTCAAAGCCCCATCTTGGCCTTCTGGTCAACTTCCAGGGTTGTGGCATTCACAACATCTCTGGGCAAGCTGTTCCAGTGCCTCACCACTCTCATAGCAAAGAATTTCTGCCTAATACCTAATCTAAACCTACCCACCTTCTTTCAGTTCAAGGCCATTACCCCTAGTCCTATCACTCCATGCCTTGTAAAAAGTCCCTCTCCAGCTTTCTTGTAAAGCCCCTTTAGGTATAGGAAGGCTGCTATAAGGTCTTCCTGAAGCCTTCTCCTCTCCAGTATGAATGACCCCAACTCTCACTCTATCGTCATAGGAGAGATGCACCAGCTCTCTGATCGTCTTTAAGTCCCTCCTCTGGACTTGCTCGAGCAGGTCCATATCCTTCCAATGTTGAGGGCCCCAGAGATGGAAATAAAAGCAGACTGTGCAGCACCTCTCTGCAGGAGGCTCTGGCTGGATTACTAACTGGCCTCATGTGGGCCCGCAAGAACCCGAAAAAGAAGAAAGCGTGCGCCCAGCCCCTGAGGAGAAACAGGCACATTGAATCAATGGAATCCAGACTCTCCAGAACATATTGGCATCCCTGCTTTTCCCAGGGGAAAAGCTAGGTGGCTTCGAAGAGGTCACAGTTTCTGTGGGTGAAGGGTCCAGCTGCAAGGCCTTCTCTACTAGGACACAGGCAATAAGTCAAAGGAAGGAGCAGGTAGGACTGTTCTGCCACACAGGAACAGCTCAGAGTGAGGTGAAAATGTTCTTGTGTTTTTGTGAATTGTCTGAAAAACTATTGGAACTGCACAGTGAGGGGACAGGAACTGTGAAAAACAATGCTTCTAATTAATCAGTGCCACATATATACGTATTTTTGGAGTGTTTTCTATACATATATATATTTTAAAACTCCATCAAGGCTGTGACAGGACTTCTGTTAAAAAGGATACTCTTAAGAGGTTTATAGTTCAGCTGGAAACATGTGTTTGACTGAGTATTATTACAACAGATCTCAGAACAAGAAGTGTCTCATCATATGTAAATTAAACCCAGTGTTTCGTTACACAGAAAAGAAGACCAAAAGGGGGAAATGAAGCATATTTGAAGGGATATAAACAATTGCAATTTCATCCTGAATATGCAAAGTCCTGGCAATTTCCTTTCCATGAAAAATCTAACACTTGGAACCATCCTCACAGCTTGCAGCTGCTGGTAATCCCAGAGGAGATGATGACTTTTCCAAAGTCTCCATTTCTGGCTAGCCTTGTTTCAAGTTTGGCTGAGACTTCCTCTCCTCTGGCAGTGATATTTAGCAAGAGAGCTGCTGAAGGCCAACAAAGAGCAGCCAGTTACAGGTTGAAGAAAACTCAACCAAGTTGATTTTGCCCTAGTAGAGGGCACTAGGCAAGGAGGTAGAACCTCCCACACTTAAATGAACGATCTTGTGTGAAACACTCCCTGTTATAAGCTATTCAGATCCCATCCCAGAGAGGTATGGAGTCAGTCACTGTAAAAGATGCCAAATAGGCCTAGAGTGTGTCTAGGTCCAGGTTACAGCAATTCTAGGAAAGAAAAGATGTTGTTATCCTTTGGTGGTGAGAACAGGGGGCAACAGATCGCTGAGAGCTACATGACAAGGCAATCCCTCCAGAGGCAAAGGATAAACACAGGGTGTTCTATGAACTGAGCCCTGGCATGCAGAGATGCCCTCAAGCCAGCAGGTCACATGCTATGGGAGGTATGTGATTGAGGCTCAAGACCATGACTCCATAGGACAGAGACCTCTCCTCTTTTCAGAAATGGCTGAAGAAAGGGAACACAGAACCAGTTACCACTCCTGTGGGTCATGATGCATGTCACAGAGAATCTTTATGCTCTTTTTAGACTGTAAATGAAAGTGTCTACACATAGCATGGTGAACCATAGTTCCCCAGCTTAGTCTAGTAACCAGAGGCAACAACAGGGTGGAGATGGGCTAGGTAGACTGGAGAACCATGTTTTCAGGCTTTGAACCTGCTCTCTGCTCCAAACCACCATCTCTATCTTCTTGATGTTACCTACCTAGTGTAGATTAGAGCTGGAATTTTTCCACCTACTCAGACTATGGGCTAAGCAGCATTTGGTGGGTAGACAACACAATAAAGCTTCTTCTCCATCTGTACTGCGTCATTTACCTGTTGGTACTATTGCAAAGCCGGATTTTAATGTAACAGGCCAGATTCCTATGTGCTTACGATGCTGCTCAATGCTCTTTCAAATTATTGAACTACACATATCTTCTTTTACGAAAAAGTGTATTTAGGAACTGTTTATTTTTCTATAGAGAAAGTAGTTCTACAAGCCAGAAATCCATTGAAGGGCTTAGAACAGAAATGTATACTCAAGATTTGCTATTTTATTTTTTGTTTTGACAGGATGCTGTGTCCTAAAATGCCTCCCATATGTACAAACACTGCAGCAGGAAGCTCAGCAAGCCTTGATGCAGTTTGTCTCAACAATGTTCCATGGAAACCTGGGCAGGTTTGCTTCAATTCTTCAGCTGATTGCCTCTCTTCGAGACATTGATGCAGATGCTATTGAAGAGCTCTTCTTCAGGCCCCTTCTAGGAGAGGCTGTCCTAAATGTATTACTTCTAGAAACACTACATATCAAGCCAGACCGCCTTTGAAAACAGATGACATCTGAGCTCTCAAATACCTATTTTTGAAGAGATGAGAGGTTATTATGAACTAAATAAACACATTTCAAACAAATCATTGATGCATCTTTTTAAGCCATATTTTTTTTTGTACGAAGTATTTTTTTAACATTTTAGAATTAAAGCAGAGAAATCTAAGCATTTCATGATTCTGTGTGCTTTCAAAAATCCTTAGTTTAAAGTACTCAAAGACTGTCTAGGAGCACCAGCATACTTTCCAGTTGTGCTAGGTTCAACCATATTATTTCTAGTGAGCATTTTTACAGCTGTTTATACTATATGCTTTTGGCTTTCCAGAAGTTTTGGCTTTCAGGAGCAGGGGCAGTGGTAAATTTTATTCAGTTGATGATGAATAGATACATAAAAGGTTGGTCAATGGCAAAATCAGTATAAATCCTTCCTTTTCTTGGGATGTCAGTCCCCGATCCCAATCCCCTTTTTGTTCCACTGAGAACTCTAATCCCTTGGCTGTAATTGCTTGATGGCCCTCCCCCTTACTAACTGCTTTTTATATGTTCTTTTCTAAGTCTTGCAGTAAACTGTGGGCATTAAATCCCTATCCCGTTATTTACGAAGTTCTTCCCTAAGTAAGAAACTGAACAACATGAATAAAAAATTTGTTGACTAGACAAAAGCCGTTGTTCAGGATTGTTTCCAGGACAGCAATAACAAAGGCTGAAAGCTAGTGTGTCATGCCATAAACAGCAAAACTAATGTAGCCTAGTTTCTTACATATTTACGACCTTTTTCCTTTAGCCCTCCCTGCATCCTTTTATAATTACCTTCACTTCTCTTCAAACAAATGTCAGATGTTCCTTGGACAGCAGAAATGCTAAAATATGGTTTCCTACAGATGTGTACAGTCTGTTCCTCCACCTCTCACTGCAAGAGTTCCATGTCTCCACCTCCAAGTACACTACAGCATTCCCCTTAACATCTTGCTGTTGCCCATCCATCTGGCTGGGGAAGAGACAGCAAGTGTATGCTGACTTGTCATCTGTCAGAATAAAAAAACCATTAAGCTTAAACTTTAGCTGTCGTAATGGAAGGTATTTGAATCCCTTACCTGTCCCATTCCTCTGCAAATAGTTTCCATGAAACCTAGAGGAATTAATTTCTGAGTTTTTTCAGTAGTAGGTCCAATTTAGTTTTGTTTGGCAAGGGGTGTCAAATTCACCAAATGGGTACTGACAGGCAGGTAGACAGACAAGAGGACAAAGAGCATGACAGCTTAATGCACACTGCCTTAGAATGTCAAGCTAAAATCATAGGAAAGAGAACTTTATATTTATATATATGTATATATACACAAATATATTTATATATATGTATATATATATACAAATATATTTATATATATGTATATATATACAAATATATTTATATATATGTATATATATACAAATGGACATCAACAGAGATGGATGTTCAAAGGACTTTCTTTTAAAGTCAACCAAGGAAAAAAGAAGTTCAAAAAATAATAAGAGTTTACTACCTACCAGTTTTGACAAAAGGCTACACATTTTCCCCCCACTTTGGTAATTGAGGAATAAATTGTAGAAATAAGGGGAAAAAAGCAAACCCCAAACAATATAAACCAAGTCCCTGGGTACCTGTGATCATGGAAGTAACAACCTCTACAGTCAACAAAACTCACCTTCTTATATTACAAGCTAACCAAACCTTTCAGAAGTGAAGCTTTTTGGACAGATATTTTCCACGGAAACCCTCAGAGCAGAAGTTTTCAGCAGAATTTTTTGTTAAAATGGCTCAATAGTATTGCCACAGACCAACTGGTGCATGGTAACAGGATATTCCATGTTTAGTTATTTGTGATACTGAATTAAAACATTAGTTCCAGACATTTGATTTTTGTCTGTTCTTAAAATTTAACCAAGAAGTATACATCCAAAAATGGTATTTGTACATTTGGTATCAACAATATCATTTGGCAGTAGACACACAAATTTCTCTCGCAGACACCTCCCAAGTCCTTACAGCTTCTACCTCTACAACAGATGCTCCACTTGCACAATGAAAGTGCAGTGCAGGTCCGGGTGGAAGGAGCAGGACCCAGCTAGCCTTGCACATGCAGCAGCTTCTGCAACGGGAATGGGAAGAGGATCTCTGCTCTGATCTCGGTGCTCCCATTGCTATTGTGAAGAGAGCAGAGAGGGAAAGAAATACCCTCAGCTCAGTGGGAAGAGTGAGGAATTTTAAACAGAGGTATAAAATACGGAAAACATGCAAAATGAGAAACAGTCATGGGGGCTTAGAGAGAGGAACAGCAAGGGAGATCAAAAAAGGCAGGAGAGGGGGACAGAAGTAGCTTATCAATAGAGCTCATTTCTGTGTAGAGTCCAGCTTACTTTCATAAGCCAAAGTCCTGCTTAGTGACTCACCAACAACCTGAACCCAGGACAGGGCTCATGGTTCAGTAGCCTGAATTTCAGACTACTGAGAACATACCAGACAGTCTCTGTTCACAACTTTGCTTCTTATCAAAATCTACTGCAGGGTGTTTGACTTTATCTGTAAGATATACAATGGTTTCAATTCAACTCTCCTTGAATTGGAGGGCACAATGCCAACAAGTTCCCATGGCTTGGCTCACCTGGAAGATAGGGCTGTATTCGCTGATGCCTCTTAGCCTGGTGTGTGTCTATGTAACCAGTTGTCTGAAAAGAATGCCTAGCACTCCACAGTGAAGATCACAGTCAACAGCTTGGGTTTTCAAGATGATTTGACCTTCTACCGTGAAGGCAAACACTAGGCTTCAGAGGGAACTCCCACAAGATCTGATACTCATGGACCTCACCTCACTGTTCTCTGAATGCAAGATTCAGTCCTTCAACATGTCTTTAACAAATCACATCTTTAGTCCTTATGCAATTAAAAAACTCAACAACCTTGAGCTAATGCTCTATGTAAGCGAACATTCCTCATCTCACAGACCTGATCACAGAGGGAGCATGAATTGTAATAATCATTTGCTTGGTATCCTGTTCAAAGAGGCTGAGATAGTACTGTCTTGCTGAGGACAGTAAGAATCTGTATCTACTGTAAATAAACTGCGTATGAAGGTGGAGGCTATGCATGTATAAGAAACAGGCAGGAACGGAGAGAAGAGGGATCATGAGCAGAGGTTAGGCGCAAAAGCAGGAGCTCTCCCTGGAAGGTGGAAAGGCACATCACAAGACAGCCTTTAGAAGCCAATGGAAATAATGCATTGGAATGAAGAAGCAGAGACAGAAATGAACAGAAGGCAAAAGGAAGACAAGGGAAAATCCTTGCTTCCCCCTTCCCCCCCCCCAAAAAAAAAAAAAAAGAGAGAAAGAGAGAGGGAGAGAGAAACAATGAGGAAAGAAAGGCTTGTCACCACTTATTTTAGCTTCTGGAATTGAAACCAGAAGCACTGTTTCTCCAGCTGTGGAATCTACCAACAAAGTACGTGTATCCATCTCCCTCTAGTGCCCAGGAGACGACAGTATCGCCATCACTTAGAGTGTAAACTTAACTAATGGAAACCTGCCAAATAAAGTACCTAGTGCTGTTGATGACCCAGGCAGAGCTTTCACTCAGAGACATCTTTCCTCTCCCAGTTGCTGACTTGTTCAAAATAGTGTACAATATTTGTAAATTGTTCGAAGAAATCTACATTTGCAAAACCAAGAATGAAAAAGTAAATTCAATTTACTTGCGAAATCTTATTCCATACTTCTTCTGAATATTATCATAAGCTCTTTTAGTGACCTGATTACAAACTCCTGTGTTTTCCCCTCAGGACTCCATGCCTTACTTGGAGCAAAGAATGGCCTGTACTGGTGGAATTTGTTACGATTGCAATGGAGGAGGCTGCTGTCGCCTAAGGCTCAGCTGCTTTTTTTGCAGCACTAACATTGCAGAATATGGATTAAAACGGATCTACAGTGACAGAAGCAATGCTCCTACAGTTAAATTGGACAAATGACACTTTATAGAGTGTGGGCCAGCCAAGTGAATTCAGGTGGCATTATTCCAGAGTGATAGTGTCCCAGAAAAAGGCTGTAATTAACAGCATTAATTGGAGTAAAAGTTTTTTGTTTTTCACAGTGGCAAACACAAGGCCTGGGAAATGGTGGTTTGCAGAAGTCACTAGGTTCTCACAGTTGCAATCCAGGTCCCAATAGGCTGTGTCTCACACTTCCAAAATAATGTATAGTGCTGTAAGCACTGAAAAATCAGTCTGTGCACACTCGAAGTTCAGGGAAGCTTTCAACAACTCTAATCTTGACACTTTCATTCCTCTTTTGTAAAAGGAAGTGGGTATAATATTGCCTTTTTTTGTGACACATCTTTGAAGATAATAATCAATGTTTGTAAAGAGCTAACAAATACTGTACTTGAGCACATTAGAAAGTCACACTGAAAATTAATAAATTCAGTATTCTATGCTATATTCAACAGCACAGACTAAAATAATGCAAAGGCTTATGCGTCACAGGGAAAGGATAAAAAGAGAAGATACTGAAGAGTAAGATTTAGTAAGCACCGAGTAAAAATAACATGTAATTTGCTATGGTGGGACTCACCTTGCGAGTGAATCACTTGCACTCTCCCTAGAGCACAGAGAGAGGGGCATGCTCTGAGGGAGGTATGCCTCCCTTCTCTCATACTTACCTTAATTTTGGATGAACCACACTATTAATTGCTTTACCTCTGCCTATTGATACAGCTAAGGAACTCACCTGACTATCTGTGATTCATTGTCCAACTTTCAGATGGTAAAAGTGAGATTAATCCCACCTCTACGACGTATATAGAAATGATCTGGATCTGGTTTGCACCTGCAATATTAACTTCAGCATTTTCTAATTAACATTAGAAGCATGCTTGGATTTGCAATCCTGATCTTTAAACAATATGTTTTAGACTTGTGCGTTAACCTAAAGGTGTATTTCTAATTAATGAAACCTGATATAGGCTTGGAAAGAAAAATAGTTCTCTGATTTTATTCACCTGCCCAGAAATCACTAAAAAGACACATATAGGTCATTCTTAAATCTATGTCCTATCTATATCTGTATCAATATTCCTATGCTGCTTCTTTTTGTTTGTTTTTTGTTTGTTTTTCCAGTGGAATGCCTTTTCTACCTCTTTTGTAGAAACAAAGCTACTTCATTCAAAACCTAAAATTTCATTTTTGTTAGAAAGCACTTGTAAGTCATACTCTCACTCTTAGACACAATTTAATTTGCAGACGAACCACTGTTGTAGGGTATGGGTACGTGAAAAATGCAGTTCTGTACTTCATATTAATATAGGAACACATGGAAATAAACACATGCCCCATTTCTACCACAGGTCTGTTGATAAAAGCAGCCTAACTCAGGGAAAAAAAATGGAGACAAGTTTCTATAATAAATTTATAGTCTAAAGAAGCTTCAGTTCCTTTAATGACAAAAAAAGGATCTCATTGAAGCCAGTGATACCAATTGTACAGAAATCCTCAATCTTTCCCAGTAGGCCAGGAGAGAGGAGGGTGAGTCAGTAATTCAGTTTTGCTTGGGCTTGTTATCAGCTGTTGTCCTTATGAGGTTGTGATTTGGAAAGTACAAGTTGTCATTCTTACTGTGTTCTCTCTCTCTCTCTTTCTCTGCCTGGGGGGGTAGCAGAAATGTTGCAAGATGAAGCACTCCACACCTCAGCTAAGATAAGAACATCTTCATCAAAGGAAGACATGGCCACAGCTATCTGCTAGCAGATAATCTCAGGAGCCAAGAATGTAAAGCTTCAAGTAGCGTGGGAATGGTCCCATTTCAGTCACAGCGGAAACAGCCCGACACACGCACACTCACAAACCATAGATTTTTACTAGGAGGGCAAAATGGAAATTTAGTGTGAAAAATAAATGTCTTGTTTATGCAAATGACCACACAGTGAAGGGTCTAATAATCTTTCCCTATCAGGATCTTATTAGCAATTAAAAATAATCTGTCATACGCCTATAATAGACAAACATTTGCTTCCAAATATACAAGCATCAGTCAGTGGATTGGAACATGATGCAGTAGATGGCTGTGATCACTGCAGCATGAGCAGGGGGTTGCAGCTTCTGGGAGCACGACGTGAAGTATGACAGACAAGGAAAGGATACTCTAATCAGGAGGAACCATCTCCACCATGCAGTGTTGTCTAGGAACTCAGCACAACTGAGGGGAGGGCAATCAAAGGTGTAAGGTGCCACTACTGGTGACACGCTACACAGTGTTGGTGTATCAGACTAGTCTGCCCCCAAACATCACATTGCATACAGGAGTGACCACAGAGATTTTGCATGCAGCTCCTGAGTATGCTGCTGGACGGCAGATGTTGCTACTACATTTCTTCCAAGATCTTGAGTCCCCTCAACCCAGCTACAGTCCCTGCACCCCTAATCTAAGTAGTTTTCACACTCCTCTGAGGCACTGAACATGTGAGCCCTGCACAGCCTTCTGAGGGTGTATGGATAGGTGGGGACTCCCTCGCCCACACTCCAAGTTAGGCAAAAGCAAGCCAGTTCAGGTCTGAAAGTCATGTATTTGCACAGATTTAACAACTTGGGTACAGCCCTGGGCCACTCCGGATACACAGATTCCACAGGTGGGTGGCATCCAATTGGCTTGGAAAGTGAGTGAGGCAAATATGTGTCTGTCTGCACCTGTCCTGGTCAATATATATGAGTCAATAGCATCATTATTAGGAAAATAAGATTAGGGCAGGGACTAGGAAGGTCCTCCTACAACATCCAATCTGGTCTCACTCATCAAGGATATTGATCTTGTACATGATTGCATCCCAAAATTTATCAAGCTCCACCTGATGATAATCTAGGATGTATTTGCATAGCCTATACATAATGGGACAGAACCTCCTGATCTGATGGTTAGGAACTTTCTAATTCCAGAACTTTCTAATTCCAATTCTACGTTATTAACAGCTATTATATGCACATTCTTTCTTGTACCAACATCAATTCAAATAGTTTTTCTCACTCAGTGTGTTCATCCAAGATATTTATAGACAACAGTTTTGTCCCATATCCATCTGCCTCTGTCAGCCCCTCCTGCCATCCCTACTCTGATAGTTTTCAACTTCTGGTCACATCTCATTCTCATTTTTGACTGATGATCTAATATTATGCTCACTTGACCTGCTTGAGTCAGAGGATGAATCTCTCTATTACAGAAGTGAATCTCAGATTTGCTCCCATCTGTTCTCTCTTTCACCTGGAGGTCATTTTGTTTCCTGTTCTATGTCAGTATCACATAAGGCTTCATTTCTCTGTCTGAGACTCCACCTCTTAACTATCTCTACCATATCTTCCTCTCCTCTGTTGCAACTGGCTTCCCTAATTTTCTCTTTTGCCATTCTGTCATCTGCCTGCTTTTTCACATCACTTTCCATTAGCAAAAATTCACAATTCGTTTCTTAAATTATTCTTCTTTATCAGTTAGTCTTTTTATTTTG